GTGCAAAGAGAGCCACTATCATGCCTAGGCATTATGGGCAGACTTAATTTCATGGCTTACAGACTACTTAATACTAAAGAAATTGATCGTAGTGTGTTTAAGTTGTACATCTTTTTTGTTTATAGTAGACAGTAATTTTACTCTAATTACAATAGTTTCAATAATGAATATTGAAATTATGTTATGGGAATTTAACATTGTGAGTTGTTGAAAGTAGTTTACAGTATAAGAATGCTACAATTGGGTGTAAAGCAGTATTGATTTGGGTAGGTATTTATAATACAATGTAGTATTAATAATGTATGAACTTTGGGTGTCTAGATTTGAAGTTTTAAGATTTAGGTAATTGGGAGATTTTTTGTAAAGTTAAATATTGAGTATTGAGTAGGGTCATAAATAATGCAGAGTATTGAGTAGGGTCATGAATAATGCAAAGTACAATCTATATATTTCTATATACTATTTCAGGTTTGATATCTAAATATTGTTCTAAGCTGTTTAATATTATGTATAAGAAAGAATAGAGATTTAGGCATAAAAAAGCCCTTGACTACATTCTGATTGAAACCCTATACAGTAGGGCCCCACTTATATGGCAGGTTAGGTTCCAGGCTACCGCTGTAAAGCAGAAATCACCATAAAGTGAGTCACACTTTTTTTTTCATTTGTAAATGCATATAAATGCTTCATAACATGTTTACACTATCATATATTAAGTTAGTAATAGAACTGGGCATTAAAAAACAATAAAAAAGTTAAATACACATACAGTACACTCATTTCTTACCTTAAAATATTTTTGTCTTAATGTAGGGTGAGAGTGAGTAGTATTTATTTTAGGAAGCCAGGTGGTAGGTATGGTAGCTTGTCAGGCTACCACACCTACATGTAATATATTTATTTATTTATTTATTTATTTATTTATTTCAACATGATACAGTGAAGTACAAAAGAATACAGTTAGATGCAGCATGCCAAAGCCACTTGAATGCATAGCATTACGGGCAGGCTTAAAATTAACTTAAGATTAACTAAGCAATGATATATTCAGTGGTACAAAAATTATTGTAAAACAGATAACAGTTTAGTACAAATGAGTATTACAAAGACAGGTTATATGGTCATTTACTGTGTTGCTGTGTAATCAGTAGAATGGAGTATTCTGTTAGGTAATGAAGTTAAATAGTAACAAAGTTTGATTGGGTCACAGGTTGACATTTATGAGATACAATAATGAGATACATATATGAGATACAATTTATGAGATACAGTTATTCAGTATTTATTTAATTGTGGGTAAGTAAGTGATTTTTGAGAAGAGACTTGAATTTATAAACAGACAGTGTTTCTTTTATATTCACAGGTAATGAATTCCAGATTTTAGGGCCTTTTATGTGCATTGAGTTTTTGCATAGCGTGCGATGGACACGAGGAACATCAAAGAGTGATCTGTGTCTTGTGTTATGGTCATGTGTTCTGTTGAGGTTCGTAAGGAGATGTTTAAGGGGAGGGTTTATGTCAGAGTTAAGTGTTCTATGTATGTAGTAGGTACAATAATAAGTATGGATGTTTTGTATTGTGAGTAGGTTTAGAGTTTTGAATATTGGTGGAGTGTGCTGTCTGTAGTGGGAATTTGTTTTCATTCTGACTGCAGCCTTTTGTTGGGTGATTAGTGGTCTGAGATGGTTTATTGTTGAGCCCCATGCACAAATTCCATAGGTGAGATAGGGGTAAATAAGTGAGTGATATAGGGCCAGGAGGGCTGACTGTGGAACATAGTACCGTATCTTCGATAGTATGCCTACGGTCTTGGAAATTTTTTTGGAAATTTGTTGTATATGTGTTTGAAATTTGAGTCTATTATCAAGGTGGATTCCTAGGAATTTTCCCTCTGTGAGTTTTGTGATAGGTGATCCATTTATCATTATGTTAAGAGACACATCTGCAGCTCTGTTACCAAACTGAATGTAGTAGGTTTTGTCAATGTTGAGAGTAAGTTTGTTGGTCTTCATCCAGGTTGATATTTTCTGTAATTCGGTATTTACAGTATTGCCTAGCATGACTGGGCTCGGGTGGGAGTAGACATATGTAGTGTCATCTGCAAATAGTGTGGGTTTGAGTAGTTGCGACATTTAAAGTTGCGACATTTAAAGTGCCCCAGCATGATAAAATATACATACAGTACACACATTACTTACCTTAAAATATGTGTAGTCTTAATGCAGGATGAAAGGTGAGTATTTATTGTAGAAAGTCAAGTGTGATAGCTTGCCTGGCTACCACACATACACGAAATATACGACTTAAATTTAAGGTACCCCAGAGCGATTATTATTATTATTACCATCAACATACTTTGTAAGCGATGCAGAGAATGCAAACAAACAGATGAACGCATTTAATACCTGTCTGGTTATGGTTCATTTCATGTTCATTTCTCATACGTTTTTGAAGCTTATACAGTGGACCCCGCATAACGATGGCATCGCATAGCGATTTTTTCCGCATAACGATTACTTTTATCGCAAAATTTTTGCCCCGCATACCGATTAAAAACCCGCATACGATTTTCGTCCGAGACGCGTCCAATGTGCCCTCACATGTGCCGGCCGTCCCATTGTTTACCAGCCAGCCTCCGCGGTAACATCCAAGCATACACTCGGAATATTTCGTATTATTACAGTGTTTTCGGTGGTGTTTCTGGAAAATAAGTGACCATGGGCCCCAAGAAAGCTTCTAGTGCCAACCCTGTGGTAAAAAGGGTGAGAATTAGTATGGAAATTAAGAAAGATTTTGAAGGGTTTGGGGCTAACCCTGAGAAGCCTATGCCCGTTGTGGGAATCCATTGTGCCTACTTCAAAGATTAAGGAAATGTGTGCAGAGTGGTTTGAACTGCAAACCTTTATAGATGAAAATCACCCTGACACAGCTGTTGCAAGCCGTGCTGGTGACTATTTCAATGACAATGTTATGGCCCATTTTAGGAAAGTCTTGAAGAAACGGGAGGTACAGAGCTCTATGGACAGATTTGTTGTGCGACACGAGGTCCAGTGACTCTGAAGCTGGTTCCTAGTGGCATTAAAAGAGAAGGGAAGTAACCCCAGAAAAGGACTTGCTACCTCAAGTCCTAATGGAAGGGGATTCCCCTTCTAAACAGTAAGAAGATAATGCTCTCCCCTCCTCCCATCCCATCAATCATCACCAGATCTTCAATAAAAGTAAGTGTCATGTAATTGTGCATGCCTTTTTCAGTTTGTGTGTATTAAAATTAACATTTCATGTGGTAAAAAAAATTTTTTTTCATACTTTTGGGCGTCTTGCACGGATTAATTTTATTTCCATTATTTCTTATGGGGAAAATTAATTCGCATAACGATTATTTCGCATAACGATGAGCCCTCTTGCACGGATTAAAATCGTTAACCGGGGGTCCACTGTACTGCAATACAAACACCTTATGTTATGTACAAGTTGTCTTAACGTTGCAGTAGAATAACTAACAGCAACACTCCCGTTTTCATGCAACACATCATTTTTAGAGGTAAGGACACTCTGAGTGAAGGCATATGAAAGGAATAATTTTCTACAGTTACCCCCAGTAATGCTGTTGTGTACACATTTTCTCTGCTGTTGGACTAAAGGAAGTGTAATTCTTACCATCACTTCAACAAGCCATTCAGCTGCCACATCTCATATTTAAGTCAATTTGTTCTACTGTGGATGTATGTGTGATGGTTATGATACGTAACGTGTTTCTTATATAATTTTGAAAAAAAATATCATGGATGGATTAATGAAAATGTCAGTACGTACTGTATTAACATATTACATTTAAAGTGCCCCATAGTGATTATTAGTATTATTATTATTAATATGGTGTCACGACTAGTGAGACACTCTTTGTGATTTTAATGTATACCTGCACACCAGCATAATGTGCAAGTTTGTTTAGGTTCAGGTACACATAAGTATAATTATCAGAGTATATATAAAATATGCAATAACTTTAAAACACTAGAAATTTTGGAAAGTTTCCAGACTTAACCCCTAAACTGTCCAAACGTTTATATGTATACGTTCTTACATGTAGCGCCCCAAACGTATATATACGTTTTAATTTTCCTGCCTCCAAATTTGGCATGATTGGCCTGAGATGCCTGGTCAGCATAGAATGGGTCTTAACACTTGGTGTGCACCATATTAAAAAAATCTGGGACCACTTAGTACCTTGTGGGAGCACCAGTTAAATTGAGTGCCAGCTAGAGCAAACAGTGTGGCAAACACCAAGGATTCACTGATGTAATGTCATATTAACACTCCCCTTTTAAGAGGAAAATGATGTTAACCCCAAATTTAGGGTCTGTCTCTGTCTATTTATCTTTGTCTATCTGTCAGTGTAGGTAGCCGGTAGGTGTAGCCCAGGTGGGCTACACCTACCGGCTACCTACACTGACTTCCTACAAATAAATACTACTCACCTCTCTTCCTATATTAAGACTACACATATTTTAAGGTAAATAGTGAGTGTACTGTATGTGTATTTTAACTCTCTGGGATGTTTTAAATATCGTATATTAAGTATGTGACGGGGAGCCAGGGCTACCTACACCTGACTTCCTACAAATAATTACTACTCGCCACTCTCCCTTCATTAAGATTACAAATACTTTAAGATAAGTAATGAATGTACTGTGAATGTATTTTACTTTGTGTGCTTTTAATGCCTGGTTCTATTACTAACTTAATGTAATTTAGTGTAAACTAGTTGTCTGGCATTTATATGCATTTATAAATGGAAAAAATGGCATTCTGCCTTCCGGCAATGTCTGCTTTCCAGCGACAGCCTGGAACCTAACCCGCCGTATAAGTGGGGCCCTACTGTAATGTGGTGTACTGTACTAGTTAAATTCAAGAAGAGAGTGACCAGCTTCTTGCTCTTGGCATGTTAAATGCAAATACATACTTATTTACCAAGATGATATGTAAAACATTTAAGGCAGATAACTTCTGCAACGTGTATAGGCGCAAGGAAAGGATTCCAACTTGTCTCATTTCTTCTCTGTTTTCAGCTCCTGCTAGAGTATGGTGCTGATCCCGAGCCTTTTGACCATATCTTCACATGTGTACCTGGCTGGCCATTGCAACATGCTGTTGTTTATGCTCATTTCTCATGTTATTTTGAGCTATTAAAATCAGGGGCTTTAGCAAACCTTACCTCACTTCCCTATGAAGTAGCTCCAAGAATAGTAGCTCGATTGTCAATTCCACATGCCATTCTGAAATATTCAAGGTGAGTACTGTAATTATTAACCTTTTCAGTGTCAATGTCCCATCAATGAGTACTGTAATTATTAACCCTCTCACTGTCAAAGTCCCATCAGTATCCTTAAAACAAAAAAAAAAAAAAACGAAAATGGTAGAGAATAATTTTCTGAAGCTAATGACACAAAAGATATGAAATTTGATGGAAAACTAATTGTGCCAAGACTACAGTCTGGGCACCATTTATGCATCAGCAATTTTGCCCACTTTGAAGCCTATTTTAGGTTAGTTCCATTGCTGAAACTGACCCAGTTCCTGGCTATTTTGCTAGGATGCCTTGCATTCTCTTGACCGAGGGTAAGAAACTGCTCATTCAGCTATCAGAACTACAGAATCCTACTAAATTCACAGGATTCAGCAATTTAGCCAATTTTACATAAAATTCAACAATTTCCAGTTTAAAAAGGCCAAAATAAACACTAGGTATTCCAATAAGTGAAGCAGTAAAAAAACAAAAAAAAAGATCAGTAGAGTAGTCAGCACCCTACCATTCTTGAAAATAGCCAAAAATCAAATGTCTGCCATTTTCAGGCCTATTTTAAGCCACTTTTCATCTGAAACCAACAGGAATCATCTCTGTTTCACTATTATATCTTCCATTGTATCAGAAGATGCAAAGAAACAGTTAAAATCCATAAAAACAACCTCAAAGTTGCTATTTTAAACCAAACACAAGGTCAGAGGTTTACTTTTCCCATCATACACTGCATTGAACTTTTTTTTTATACTGTGCACACCCACTGCACAGACTCATTCTTTCATGTCTAGATCAAAATTTACACTCGCAGCATATTTCAGGGTGCTCTGTTTTTAAAACGTATGATCTACATCAGCAACACTAGCATCAGTAACATAGATCTGCATGGGAGACACTGAAAGGGTAAATCTGAGATGGAAGGAAGGAGAGGTAGGGGTTATTCTAGGAAGGGTTGGAGGGAGGGAAGGAAAAAGGGTTTTTAAGTGCTAGGGACTTAAACATCCAGTAATATTGTTTGTGTTAGATCAGAATGAAGACAGGTAGATTGTATGGTTTGACTTGCTGTTGAAGTGTGAGCAAAATAGCATTACATATTATTATTATTATTATTATTATTATTATTATTATTATTATTATTATTATTATTATTATAATCTTCACCAAGCACTAAATCCATTAGAGGCAAAATAGCATTTATGAAGGGATTCAGGAAACTGGTTAATCAGACTTGAGTCCTGGTGGGTAGTAAAGGAGGGGTGGGGATGTTTCAGTTCAGATTATTACTTTATAATTATCATCATCATCATATTAAGTGCTGTTCCTATAAGGGTCATGCAGCACTGCAATTTGGAGACTGATTTGAATTGTGATGCCTGCACACTTTTGGCAGGTTAGTTATTAAATGAATGATAGTAAATGTGTTTTGTTTTTTCAGGGTCATCCCACCTTGGTAAAGATGGCCAGAGTGTTATAAAAGATAGAAATTTTTAATTTAACCCTGTCACTGTCTGTCATGTAGAACTACATCACTGAGACCAGGGGCCCTCACATAGTCCTACATCATAAGCTCAACTCAGATAAGCTGTGAAAGGTAAATTTTGGCCTACATATGAGAGAATGGGTTTGTGTGGCAAGTGTGCACAGTATAAAAAAAAATCCTCCCCCACATAGTGCATGATGGGAAAAACAAAACCGTGACTGAGTGTATGGTTTACAATAGTGACTTTGCTGTGTTTTCTTATATGGTTTTAATGGTTTTATTGGCTGTTTCTTGGTATCATTTGATAGAATGAAGATATACTACTGAAATAAAGATGATTTTGATTGTCTTCAGGACTGGAAGTAGCTTTAAATTGGCTCGAATTAGTGAAAAATATTAGATTTTTGCCAATATTCCAGAGGATAGCTAGGGCCCTTCTACAACCCCTAGTCTGATTCATTTTCCCCGAAATGCTCAGCATAACAAGCGGCTTTCTATATAGTAGTATGTCACTGATGTCAGCTAGGCCTGTATACCATGTACACGTACTTGTAGTAAATAAGGATATTATTATTATTATATTTCTTTCTTTCAACACACCGGTCGTATCCCACCGAGGCGGGGTGGCCCAAAAGGAAAAACGAAAGTTCTCCTTTTACATTTAGTAATATATACAGGAGAAGGGGTTACTAGCCCCTTGCTCCCAGCATTTTAGTCGCCTCTTACAACACGCATGGCTTACGGAGGAAGAATTCTGTTCCACTTCCCCATGGAGGTAAGAGGAAATAAACAAGAACAAGAACTAGAAGTAAAATAGAAGAAAACCCAAAGGGGTGTGTATATACAGTGGACCCCCGCTTAACGATCACCTCCAAATGCGACCAATTATGTAAGTGTATTTATGTAAGTGCGTTTGTACGTGTATGTTTGGGGGTCTGAAATGGACTAATCTACTTCACAATATTCCTTATGGGAAAAAATTCGGTCAGTACTGGCACCTGAACATACTACTGGAATGAAAAAAGTTCGTTAACCGGGGGTCCACTGTATATGCTTGTACATGTATGTGTAGTGTGACCTAAGTGTAAGTAGAAGTAGCAAGACATACCTGAAATCTTGCATGTGTATGAGACAGAAAAAAAAAGACACCAGCAATCCTACCATCATGTAAAACAATTACAGGCTTCAGTTTTACACTCACTTGGCAGGACGGTTTAGTACCTCCCTGGGCGGCTGCTGTCTACCAACCACACCTAATTTTTATATTATTATTATATTATATTATTATTGGGACACTGAAAACCCTTTGGGCCCAATCTTTCCAGGTTATATTTTATTATCTGGGAAATGGAGTAAATCTATTTTTTTGTGAATAAGGATTCAAATGGAAGGCAAGTGAAATTTTTTTTTTTTTTTTTTTTTTTTTTTTTTTTTTTATCACACTGGCCGATTCCCACCAAGGCAGGTTGGCCCGAAAAAGAAAAACTTTCACCATCATTCACTCCATCACTGTGTAATATAGTGTAATATAGAAGTGTAATATAGAAGAAAACTGGGGGATGCGACTAATAAAACAGAGGAATATTGTTTTAATGCCAGGAATGTCTACGTTATTTATTATGGACTTTATTTATCCAAAGGGCTGAGGAGGGGTTGTTGAGGGGGTTGGAAATGAGAAAAGATGGGACAAAATAGAATGACCTTGAGAGTGTATAAATCTGTATGGAGGGAAGGCGGGGTAGGGGTCGGCCTAGGAAAGGTTGGAGGGAGGGGGGGGCAAGGAGGTTTTGTGTGTGAGGGGCTTGGACTTCAGCAGCATGCGTGAGCATATTAGATAGGGTGAATGGAGGCAAATGGTTTTTAGGACTCGACGTGCTGTTGGAGTGTGAGCAAGGTAAACATTTTGAAGGGATTTAGGGAAACCAGTGGGCTTTACTTGAGTCCTGGAGATGAGAGGTACTGTGCCTGCGCTCTGAAGGAGGGGTGTTAATGTTGTAGTTTTATAACTGTAGTGTGAGTTTCAACCTCTGGCAAGACAGTGATGGAGTGAATGATAATGAAAGTGTTTTCTGTTTTGGGCCACCCTGTCTTGGTGGGAAATGGCCGATGTGTTAAAAAATAAAATGTTAAAATTTTTGTGTAAAATTGGCCAAATTACTAACCTCTGTACATTTTATAGGGTAGTTAAAATACAAGTCTCCCTCAACATTCGCGTTATCCACTTTTGTGGACTTTGAACATTCACAAATTCCCAGCCGCCAAATCATTTTTATGTTGAGAACTTTGAAGGTGATGAACGACATTGATAGAGGCATGATTCCCTACAAAACTCTGTAAATATGAAGAAACAGTCTCAGTTGCCCATCATAATGTCCTTCACAAGGAAGCCTGCCACTACAGTCCCCATCCCTTTATCCAAGGTCCTATTGAAGCTAAAACCTTGGGTAGTTTAAAATTTAGGTTGGATAAATACATGAGTGAGAGGGGTTGGATTTGAGTGGGACTTGCACGTGAGTAAATAGAATTATCAAAGCTTATTGCTTGGGTAGCATTTATTCTGTTAGTGGGTTGGATTTGTGAAGGACCTGCCAAATATAGGCCAACAGGTCTACTGCAGTGTTTCTCCTTTCTTATGTTCTTATGTTGATGAGTGGAACAATCTGCCTAGTATGGTTATAAGAACATGTGAACATAAGAAAGGAGGAACACTGCAGTAGGCCTGTTGGCCTATACTTAGCATGTCCTTCACAAATCCAACCCACTAACAGAAACGCTACCCAAGCAATAAGCTTTGATAATTCTATTTACTCACGTGCAAGTCCCACTCAAATCTAACCCCCTCACTCATGTATTTATCCAACCTAAATTTGAAACTACTCAAGGTTTTAGCTTCGATAGGACCTTGGGTAGCTTTAAAAAGAGATTGGACAAATATATGAGTGAGAGTAGCATGTATGTATATATAATACATGTATGTACAGTGGACCCCCGGTTAACGATATATTTTCACTCCAGAAGTATGTTCAGGTGCCAGTACTGACCGAATTTGTTCCCATAAGAAATATTGTGAAGTAGATTAGTCCATTTCAGACCCCCAAACATACACGTACAAACGCACTTACATAAATACACTTACATAATTGGTCACATTCGGAGGTAATCGTTATGCGGGGGTCCACTGTATTTTGGAAATAAATGGTATAAAATACTGTAGGTGAAACAGCAAGAAACCTCGACACCTGCCTCAATGAACACATTTACGCATGTAGGAACGATAACTTGAACAACGCCTGTGTACATCACCGAAATTCCACCAATCATCTCATGAAATTCAGAGACGCCCAATTAGTGATCAAAGAAACTAATTTCCGCAGACGCAAGTGCCTCGAATCAGCACTGATCGCTGTTTTGAATACAATTAAACAAAACAACGGCAGCTTCACCATCTCCGAAGTCTTAGCAAGAATCCTCCTGAAAACAGTAAACCCTGCCATCACATAGTCTCTCCCGT